TGGTCCTAACTGTCATCCTTACTGGTTGCGGGGTGGGGTGGGGGGAGTATGACCAGATTATGCCTGCCAAATTCTCCCTCCATCCTCTCAATATTATGTAAAGTTCTAGAGTTCTATAAAGCTTAGGCTGGATGTAAGGATTTGCATCCTCTTCATGATTCTTTCCTAAATAAGCATTGTCTCTCAGTCCAAGTGATGAAAACCTCAGCTAAAGGCCTTAGTTAAAGAGCTGCATAAAAGGGGTTTGTAGCATGAACTAAAATGGAAATGGACATTCTGTTATTCAGGTGGGCTTAATATGTTCATCTGAACACGTTATAGTGAACCATAACATGGTTTGTGGGTTATAGCTTAGACACTTATATGAACTGAACCTTGGAGGTTTGTTCAACAAACTGATTAAAACCCATAGTCCTTTATGTACTGAGCCTATTTATGTACTGATCCCTCTAGATCAGGGGTGTCAAGCTCGCCAAGTCACGTGATGTGTTGTGACATATCATTTTTTCTCCTTGCTGGAGTTGGGGTGGGCGTGGCTTCCACATGACGCATCTGGCCCGCGGGCCGGCACTTTGATACCCCTGCTCTAGATGGCTATTATTTAAAACCAGCCCTATGAAAGAATGAATCCATTGCCAAACTAAATAGTCTCATCTGATGGTCCGGGGCTGACTGTAAGAACTCTCTCAAGAATTCCATTTCTTGAGTCCTCTATTTGGTATGCCAGAAACATTTGTTTCAGACCATTGTGCTGCCTCCTGACTTTCAACAACCCAGAGAGTTTCTGTTCCACTTAGGTTTCCCTTAATGGGAGAGAGGCAGTCTTGATTGCTTTGTTCTCAGCTACATCCCCCTGGCATGTCATCATTAGAGTTACTCTTCTGAAGGCTCCTGATCATCAAGAGCCCCATCAGGATTCCAGCTCATGTTGTGTCACAGCAAGACTTTCAGTGTTTTCACTGGATAAGGATGTTCTTAAGGAAAACCCTGAGTGTGCTAATTAAGCTGAGCATATCAGACCAAAACCAGTGAGTAGAAAGATTTGGACTGCACTCTGTTCCCTCGGAGTTTTATCTGCTGTGGGCAAGATTGATCTTGCTGGCTGGTAACATGGAATGGCAGGGAAGGCAAAACAGAGTTAGCTTAACAAAATCTTAGTGAGATCTTAGCAAAGATCTTAGATGGACTCAGCAGGTGACAGCACCTAGCTAATCCCTCTTCAAAAATTCAGTGGGGTCAGGCCTGGTTAGCAGGACTCTGTACTTTGCATACAAAGGCAAAAGCGTGCTTTGAAGCACATAGGGAAGCTAAGTTAATGCAAGCTCATTATGAAAACTCCATGGGCAGAAGAGAAGCAGACAGTGTCTCATTTCACATAAAAAGCATGGCGTAACTCTGGCTCCTGTAGCAGGAATATAGAAATATAGTATGTGTAAATGCTATCAGATAGGCTGCATGAGTGGGACCTGAATTCAGAAAGTGTGTGCATAAGAGACTTAGGTTTAATCCTTGGCAGTTTAAGGATGTGGCAGCAGCTGATGGGAGCGCATAATCTTTTCCTTGGAAGAAACAAATAGGTTGAATCCACACATTCTGTTCAGCTATAATGATGGTTTTGGGCCGTTGTTCTTATTGTTTTGATTTAGGCTGACTGCATGAACCCAAACAATTGTGGCTGATTTGATCCATCATGATAAAAGAAACCACAGGAACAGGGTCTATAAAGTAAGCAAACGTGGTTATTCAACCAGCTCTCTTATGATTCCCTCCTCCCCATCAGTTTAAAGCATTCCTAACTCAGTTACTTGTAAAAAAAAAAAAAAGAGAGAGAGAGAGAGAGAGAGAGAGAGAGAGAGAGAAGGGGGAAGCTTGGGGCCATTCCTGTGGAGGAAGACTTTTTTGAACCATTATTTTTTCTAGCTGAAGGCTAATTTTAAAAAAGGTATATAGGTAGTCCTTGACTTAACAATCATTCATTTCATGATGGTTTAAAGTTAAGATAGCTATGAAAAAAAGTGGTTTATGACCTGTTCTCAAAGTTGTAACCATCACACAACCTCAGTGGTCATGTAATTGGGATTTGGGTGCTTGGCTACTGGCTTGCATTTATGACTGTAGCATCCTGTAGTAGTGCGATAGTGATGCAAGATCTTCTCAGCTGGTTTCCAACAAGCAAAATCAATGAGGGGAAGCCACATTCCCTTTGGGCCAGTCTCTCTGTGTTAGCTCCACCCACCACACAGGGTTGTTTTTGTGACAAAATTAGGAGGAGGAAGCTGTGTCTGGTATGTTTGCTGCTTTGAGGTATTTGTCAAAAAAGATGGGATACACATAAACAAATAAACAAAACATCTTAGCTGATTTATGACATTCTGCTTTTGGCAATGAAAAGCCAGCTAAGAAATGAATAATGCCCCTATCTTTATTATTTAGACTAATATAACACTTGGCAAGCAATGTTCAATATTTAAACCATAAGACTGTAAAGTGGAGGCAAATAAAGAATGAAAGAAAAGAAAAACTCTCCAAAACTGGTGAAGAATTCTAATTATGTGTCAGTTTGGGGTGACTAGTTTATTTCAAGAAGGAAGGAAAGATCAACCATATGGAAGTCAATGAAATACAGTAGTGCTTAAAAGTTTATGAATATTTTTGAATTTTCAATATTTCTGTATAAACCTGTCTTAAAACACAATCTGTTCTCCACATAAGAATTACACACTATTAAACAAATGGATGAAAAACATTTACTTGTTCACTCATCTATTGACAAAAATTATCCAAGCTGCATATTTGCGTGGGCAGAGAAACGGTTATTATAAAGTCTGATACTTTCAACAGTGGATCTGGTTGTTTAATTTCCTTCCAATCAATTGTGAGATTTTCTCCTATACATTTTAAAAAAGATAACTATGTGTTCCACAGATTTATTTACAAATGTATAGGATCATATTTTAAATACAAATTGTCCTAAATGAAAATAATTGTGGTACATTGTGCTACACATGTATAACAAAATTTGAGAATTTGTTGAAACATAACTGTTTCCTGAACATTTGTGTGAGTTCACTTGGTTGAATGTTGTAATTTCATATAGTACAGTAATTCTCTGCAAATAAAAAAAAGAGACATCCTTGCTACTGGTATGTCAGATATAAGCTCTGAGTTTTCTCCCTGATTTGATGGAAGAAAACCCATCATTCTATGGATAAAATGCATTCCTACAATATATATACTACAGATTTACTATTTTATGTCTCCTGTGCAGGATAATTCAAACACATGAATTCCCATCATATATAGCCTTGCTGACAGTGCAGAATGAGCATTTTAAGTGAAGCGTTTTAAGTTGAAATGTGAAGAATTAGATCGCTAAATGGAAGCTCGCATCTCTTAGTTCCTTCACTTATAAAAATTAACTTTTATAATTACTGCCTTGTTCATTGTAAAAGGTGGTAGACATTTTTCACAAAATAAAACACAATGCAAAAACAAATGTTTAGGAGAAGGGTAAGTGCTCAAATCAAAAATTTTTCTCTGAGTATTCCTCACCTCTACAATCCATACTATATTTTACAAATTATTTGCCCTAATCCTTGTAATTGAATAAAGGTTGTATAAAGCAAAATAAATGGAAAACCGTTTTATTCCACGAACGTGGTGTAGATTAAGAACCTCAGATATCGCGACTTTTCAGCAACCACCTTTAACTTTAGTCCTAACTTGATTTCCCTACATATAACAATCCCTTCCTTTCCTTGCTTGGTCCGTAAACTTTATCAGGACGTGGCTCATCGTAGCGTCTGAGTTGAAACCAAAACTTCATTTCCCATGATGCATTGAGGCTGTTTTTCTCTCTCCGTGACGCTTTCCTTAATGGACGTCTCCGCGAGAGGGTTAGAGATTTGTGAAGTTCTTTTGGGAATTGTAGTCAACGGCTGGTAGGAGGTTTGAAAGGCTCACTCCCCCCGGAAGAGATGGATCCATGAAGAGTTGCCGGGTATTTTTCGGGCAGCGCAGCTTCTCCTTGCTGGTGTGATGTAGCAGCTGGATGTTGCTTAATTGCTTAAAAGGGTGGATGGGTGAGTGGGGTTGGGGGAATCAGGGTCAATGCTTTAGATAGAGTTAACGGGACGCAAGCAAAGTCCGGAGTAAACCCTTAAAAGTTTATTTTTGGAGTCTGAAGTCGTTTTGCCTTTGCTTGGGTGGTCAGGATAATGTCTTTTTGGGTACAATCGGATTGCACTTTTTCGTGAACCAGTGCGCTTGGATGGATGTAACCCTGAAAATAAAGAGCTTTCATTTAAACTAAGCAAGGATGATATATTTACGTATTGAGCTTAACAGTGGTAGCAAGCCAAAACCAAGCAAAGTCCATTGACACTTCAAAGTGGCTTGAAAGAAGAAAATTGCTTGCAACAATAAGGCTCATAGACTGCTCTTCCCTTTGGCATGTTGGTATTGTAAGTCTTGTTTCAAAATTTATTCTGGTTTGTTGGCTTGCAGGGTGACACTGCAGAAAAACAAAAAACAAAGATGCACTATTTCAAGAAAGGCTGAGCTTACTCAGATCGCTTTAAATTGACTGAAGAACTGATTGCTTGTGCTAGCCTTTTAAGATTGTATAAGGTACATTTTTAATGTTTACAAATATTTCAGAATTTTGTGGCTTGTTTCCCCCCCTTTCTTCTTTTGTGGTGGGGGAGCACTATCAGAAGTTGAATTACAATGTAAAACCCTTTCTACATCAGCCTTTGCTTCAGTCTGGAGTGTCAGTGCTGACTTTTAATGTTTTGCATTTGATTTCCGTTTAGTTCAAATCCATAACTGATGAATTCAGTCCTTTTTTCTTTCAGCAAAAAGTCTGAGTAAAACTTCCAGTCTTTTAAGAAAGTCTTTATCTTTTTTTTTTCTGACCAAATTGGTCAGCTTTGCCATTTCCACAAGCTCTATCATTTTTATAATCCAGTTGTATACTGTGAGTATTTCATTGTTCTTCCATCTTTATGCATGCAATAATCTTGCCACAGTTTCCATATACAATATTAGTTTCCCATATTTATTTTCTAGTTTATTGGCCATAAAATCCAATAAAAATCCATATTTTTTTGTATTGTTGCATGAATTTGCACCCAAATTCTCTTTGCTTTTTCACAAGTTCACTATGCATGATAAAAGTTCCCTCTTCCTTTTCACTCTTCCAATGCTGGTGTAATATTCCTTTATACATGTTTGACAGTTTAACCACTATCATATATCAACAGTATATCGTTTAGAAAAGTTTTCTTTTAAAGCTATTTAATTTTTATCCTGCCTTTATTATTTTTATAAATGATTTAAGGCAGCAAAAATACCTAATATTTCTTTCTTCTATTTTCTCCATAACCATAACCCTGTGGAATGAGTTGGATTGTTGTTTAGCATTTTATCTTACCTTCCTTCTAGGTCAGATGTGTGGTTAAGAAAACTACTGCTTTGATTTATAAAACTGTGGAAGTACTCTTCCTCTCTCCTCTCCTCTCCTCTGATAGATGTATGGAATTTGTTTGTCCATTGCCAGATGTGTGATGTAGAGTAGGTTTTGTTATCATATTCTTACTAGTACTCTATAAGAAAGTATGTTACATTGGCAGTGTCATGTACTCTTTATTTAAAAGGATAATTCATATGGTTTATCAAAAGAAAATCAACCTGACTTGACATTAGTTTATTTAAAAAAATTATATTATAAAATAAATTGATACAGAATTGTTAATAATGAACCTTTTTAAACGGGGGAGATTATTGGGGGATTTCCATATATTATGAATCCTGGATTTCTTTACACTCTGATAAAGTTTTCAGTAAAGTGCTAATATTCCTATAAATGTTCAATTTTTGAAACACAGTTGAGATTTTTAACAGAATATGTAGATCAGTTGTAGCAAACTTGCCTCCTTTGGATTTGGGGTCAGTTTTTTTTTCTTAATTCCATATTTGAAAAAAATGCTTGTGCCTTTTATCCAAATTTACCTAGAGTTATCTATCTCAGTTATAAATGTAAGGGGCATTACATTAAGCCGTATTGTGGCTTATTTTATCTGGTGAATAGTTCCTTCCTGTTGCCAGCAGTGGAGATTCACTGGAGTGAAAGGGGAGAAGATACAGCACAATCTGACATGGTTATTGTAGCCAGTCTTAATAAAAGTAATCTTAGCTTTCATGCAGGGTAGATTTTGTGGTCTGGTCTAGCTAGTTGGACTGCCATTCCTTTTCTAGAATTGAAGCCTCCCTCTATCTTTGGAGGGAGAGACTTAAAATATCCTAGACTCACTGAAATGCCCTTCATAAATTATAGGACTGACATTTTAATATTTTTACGGCTAGATTCAGTTGTGATGGGTGTGGTGGCCTAGTAGTGACACTCGCTTCCCATTTGGAAGGTTGAGAGTTCAATCCTAGGTAGCAGCTCATGTTTCTCTCTCAGGGCACAAAGAGAAAATATCTGTTGCGAACTCCACATAGGCATCAGGAAGGGCATCTTGCCAGTAAAGGTTCAGTTGCATTCAGTCACCCCAAATCTACACCAAATTAACAGATGTCAGGGTCGTAAAAAGAAAAAAAAATGTTGGATTCAGTTAAAATACAGTATTTTTTCCTCTTTTTATTTAGTTGTATCTATTTTACAGTTTCAATGTCTTTTTGTTTGTTTTCGGTTTCATTTCATACATTTTTGCAAGATAGTTGAAAGGACGAATAAATAAATAAATGGAAAAGAAATGTATGAAGCACCATCTCAGAAGAGATATCTTCTCTCTTTTCTAATCAACAGGAGAGGCTACTTCTTTAAAGATGAGGTTAGCTACATTGCCCGCCTACATCTTCTATTAATGAAGTGTGCTATTTGCTTCAAAAAGGTTGATTTCATTTTGTTGTGCAATGAATCACTTAATAGATGCTGTAAACATCTATGATTAGTTGAGGTTTCTCTAATTTGTTAACAGAGCTGGTTTTTATTGTAGTTTCACCTCCAGTTCTGGCGTCTTTTGGTAAGCACCCACAGAAAATGTCGCCTGGGCTTACTGAAGAGCAGAACAGGAAGATTGAGGAGAACAGGCAAAAGGCTTTGGCAAGGAGAGCAGAGCGACTGGCAGCTCAGCAGGGCGGTGTTGCTATGAAGCACTCTGACATGCAGAATCCTGATAGCTGTCAAGGAAACCTGCAGCAGCCTTTGAAGAAGCAAAGCTATCACCCCATCCTTGGTAACCATCCCCTCCAGGGCCCTGGCACCTATTTGGTGCAGAAAAGTCCTCAGATCCGTTCTGATCACTGTAGTTCAAATCAACAGGCAACTATTTTGTATGGAGTCCAACAAAAAGATGAATCAGTGGACTCTAGCCCAAATTTATACAGACAGTTGGCTAGCACTAAGAAGCCCTCATCAGCAGTGCAAGGCTCTTTGAGTAATTCTCATTGCTATTCTCCTGAGAGTTCCTGCAGACAAGGTCAGCTAATCCAATGGAATTCTGATACATTGCAGCCACCTATATACGGTGCAGCGGGCCAGAATATTGGAGGACAGTATCAGACTATCTTGGATGCTAATATGAACTCAGACACTGTTAAGAATGTACAGATGCAGAGCAAATCTGTCGGCAAGCGGGGTCTCCTTAGACAGGCAACGTTGCTGGATGCAGTTGGAACTGCTGCAAAGGATTGTCAAATGCAGGCAGGTACCAGAAATCTAGACTCCACCAAGAAGGAAGGGAGTAGTGCATTGCAGTTTTATGGTACAAACCCCCTTTTGGCTCCTGTAAAGGGGGGAAGAGAACAAAATTCAACTATTTCTAGGGTTTCAGGCAATGTTCCTGAGACGTCTGTACCGAAAAATCACAAAATTCTCAAAGGAAAATGTGTAAAACATTCTGAAGGCAGATTCAGAGTTGAGATTGGATACAACACGGAGCTCATTGAGATATTTAGAAGCTTACCAAGCAAAAAATATGGTAAGTATAGCTCTTATTGTTAAACTCACTGTGTAAACCTTTTTAATGCCACGACCCCAACCGGTCGTAAGTCGAGGACTACCCAACCGGTCGTAAGTCGAGGACTACCCAACCGGTCGTAAGTCGAGGACTTTCCCTGCCCGGGAGCGCCGCGCATGCGTGGTGCTGCTCCCTGCACCAGCTGAGGCATAGCTGGCAAGGGGCAGCGACGGCGCAAGGCGACCACCAGCTGGGCCACCAGCTGGCCCAGCCAAAGGGAGGTAAGGCACCCGCCGGGCCCCATGCACGCCAGCAATCCTCCCTGTGCCCGTCGGCCTCCCACCTCCCACCCCGGCCCTCTTTTACTTACATTTTTAGTAGTTGCTCAGCAGGGAGGGGTGGAAACTTCCAGACAGCTCGCCTTCGCTGCTCTTATTGTTAAACTCACTGTGTAAACCTTTTTAATGCCACGACCCCAACCGGTCGTAAGTCGAGGACTACCCAACCGGTCGTAAGTCGAGGACTACCCAACCGGTCGTAAGTCGAGGACTTTCCCTGCCCGGGAGCGCCGCGCATGCGTGGTGCTGCTCCCTGCACCAGCTGAGGCATAGCTGGCAAGGGGCAGCGACGGCGCAAGGCGACCACCAGCTGGGCCACCAGCTGGCCCAGCCAAAGGGAGGTAAGGCACCCGCCGGGCCCCATGCACGCCAGCAATCCTCCCTGTGCCCGTCGGCCTCCCACCTCCCACCCCGGCCCTCTTTTACTTACATTTTTAGTAGTTGCTCAGCAGGGAGGGGTGGAAACTTCCAGACAGCTCGCCTTCGCTGCAGACAACTTGCAGAACCGTTTGCAGAATGGGATTTTTGGCGGGCTCAGCAGGGCAGAGACAGCCTGGACAATTCCTATTGGCTTTTGAAAGCCAATAGAATTAGACTCTATTCAAGAGAGTCTATTCTATTGGCTTTCAAAAGCCCATAGAATAAAAGGGAGTAGCACAGCTAAGGAAAAGGGGAAAAAATGGCGGACTGTGTTGTTTGGCGACCCCCGTGAAATGGTCATTCAACCCCAAATGGGGTTGCGACCCACAGGTTGAGAACCGCTGCTATAAAGCCTTAGTAAGACCACACCTAGAATACTGCATCCACTTTTGGTCACCACACTATAAAAAAGATGTTGAGACTTTAGAAAGAATGCAGAGAAGAACAACAAAGACGATTAAGGTGCTGGAGGCTAAAACCTATGAAGAATGGTTGCAGGAATTGGGCATGACTAGTCTAGGGAAGAGAAGGACCAGGGGAGACATGATAGCAGTGATCCAATATTTGAAGGGCTGTCACAGGGAGGGGGGGGGGTCAACCTATTTTCCAAAGCACCTGAAGGCCAGACAAGGAACAATGGATGGAAACTGATCAGGAAGAGAGTCAACCTAGAAATAAGGAGAAATCTTCTGACAGTGAGAACTATCAACCAATGAAACAGTTTGCCATCAAATGTTGTGGATGCTTAATCACTGGAAGCTTTCAAGAAGAGACTGGACAGCCATCTGTCCAGAAATGGTATAGAGCCTCTTGCTTAAGCAGGGGGTTGGACTAGATGACCTATAAGGTTCATTCTATTCTATTCTATTCTATTCTATTCTATTCTATTCTATTCTATTCTATTCTATTCTATTCTATTCTATTCTATTCCTATTCCTATTCTACTCTACTCTACTCTACTCTACTCTACTCTACTCTACTCTACTCTACTCGTATTTCTGATTCCTTAATTGGAATGATGCCCAACATCCGTGACTCTCCCATTTCAGAATGCCTATTTTTATTAGTAATATCACTGCTATTAGTTTTAATGCACTAATAGTTTTAGTTTCTATTAGTTTTAATGCACTAAATAGTTTTAGTTTCTATTTATTAATCTAAATGTATATCTATATACATCTTATTTTTTATTCTTGCTGACTCCTTCCTGAGTAGGAAAGCAGAACTGTAAGCTGGACTAGGAAATCAAAAAACATCTCAGAAGTAATGGCAAATAACTTCTGTACTGTTGCAAAAAAAAAAAAAAATCTACATGGACTCATGATGTTTATTTATAATAATCAAGGCTTGAGGCATCTCTAGCTTTTTGAAAAGAAAAAGATCTGTACTGTTTACCGTTCTTGGTATCTGTAAAAGATGGAAAAATTAGAATCATATTTCTGGTGTAATAGGAAACTTTGTTAACAAAGAAATATGGATTGGAGTGCAGAGGCCTGGGAGAAGCCCATCAAGAAGTAGCACTTTGACAGCAAAGAGAGCTGACATAATGATGATTCATTTATGTCTCCACTAAGGAGATACGTGTGTATTTCTGCTCAAAGTACAGGGGTCTTTTCTAAATGGCACTTCTATTCACAAAATTAGACTGTTCGCATGATAATACATGTCATTTTCTAGTGTGTATATCCCCTATGAAAATAAGGTGTAAGACACTATTATATCTGATATTTTTATGATGAGTTCTATGTGAAATTAATTTTTTTTATTCAACTTAACTACAACTAAAGAGTCATATATAATAACATTTAATAAAATAAGATCTCATATATAAGAGACCTTATTTATCATTACAGTCTTATACTGTGTTTCCCTGAAAATAAGACCCGGTCTTATATTAATTTTTGCTCCAAAAGGTTCATTAGGGTTTATTTTCCAGTTAGGTCTTATTATCAGGGCAATATAGCACTAAATGTGTCCATCTGGCTGATGATCTTGACGAGTTTATTTTTGGGATGCGGCTTATATTACAAGCATCCTGAAAAATTATGCTAGGGCTTATTTTCTAGTTCAGTGGTTCTCAACGTTTGTGTGACGGCGACCCCTGTCACACAAATGTGCCGCGCATGCGCAGCGCGGCACGCATGCGCAGCACACATATGCAGCGCGCATACGCGGCGGTGCCCCCTGAGGGAGGGAAATGGCGGATCGCCTTCTTTGGCGACCCCCGTAAAATGGTCGATCGACCCCAACTGGGGTCGCGACCCATAGGTTGAGAACCGCTGTTCTAGTTGGTTCTTATTTTCGGGGAAACACGGTATTTGGTCTTATATATATTTGATATGCCAAAAATGCATGACTTTCTGTGCCTTGGCACGCCAATTGTGAACTCGTGTGCAAAGGACCCTCTGCATTTATTAAAATAATCTCTTTACAGGGATCTCATAAATTATAATAATTAGTCTCTGGCTCTGTGCAACTCTGGTACACGGTTGATCTATATTCCCTGTAAATTCTGTATAAATTAGATAAGTTATCTTGATACAAGGATTTCTTATGCCAGTGGTCTTATTTTTATTGTTCTTTTGAGTCAGTATTCACTCCTGGCGACTATCTGGACAAGTCTCTGCAGCTTTCTTGCCAGGATTTGATAAGTGGTTTGTCCTTGCCTACTTCCTAGGGCACAAAGGGACTGACTGACATAAGGTCACCCAGTGGTTTCATGTCTAAGGTGGGACAAGAACTTGCAGTCTTCCAGTATCTAGCCTGGTATCCCCACTAGTACCCCAAACTAACCTTGATATGTTTTAGCCTTTTTAAATATTCTAATGGAATATTCCTGACTTCAAATTATTTTTTAAAACTTTCTTTTATTTCAGATCCAGAAACAAGGATATGGAATTTCAGTCTTGAAGACTATGGCCATCTCAGTAAGTAATTAGTCAGTTGGAATTCTGTTTGGAAATCCTCCAGGTTCGGAAGAGTTCAGCAGAGAAATGTCGTTTTGGAAAGCCTATGAGATGATTAATACTATTTGTTTACTTAGTGGTGGAAATAGTTTATATTCATAAATTTATTTATTCAAGGACACATACAAATACTTTTATTCGTAAATGAGTTATATTGAACTGTTCAAAGAAACAGAACCAGTGTTTTGAAAAATGAATAGTTTAAAATGACTTCAACAGTTTTGTTTAACCAGTTGGAAACTTACCAGGCTTGTACAAAAAACAAAAACAACCCAAACACAATCCCAGATGTTATAGCTTTATGTTTCAAAGTGGCAACTCTGCAATATTGGAAAGTTTCAACTAGCTGTAAAGGTTTATTTTTAAGTGCTATTCAAATCATAAAACAAGGTTGAATTCAGAGGGGAGTAATTGATTGTGATACATTTTCTTAGCTTCCTCAGTGGGCAGTGGTGGGCACTGGTAGTAATGTCAGTGCTCTTTTGCTTTTCTTCCACCTTTGAAAGTCTCTCATGTTTCTTTGAGTCTTTTCCATTCTTCCTGGGAGTTGATGGTTTTATTCTGATTATCTCTTTTGTCTTTCTTTTCTTCTTCTTCTTTGAAATCTGAATTTTATCCCCCAGTGGAAAGAGTAGAGCAATTTCCCTCCATCTCTTTGACATCCCTGGAAGGAATGGAGAAAATGACTGGGGGTGGAGAGTCATCTTCTGCTGGTCAAAGTTCTCAGCTGAGATCCCTCTTGCAGACATGTACCAGCTGGCAGAAACCATCAGCAACCGTCACAGGAAGCTGCGTTCTGATTTCCTATTCTCGGTTTGAAGTAGATATTGGCTATGCTGCCAGCATCGTAGGAGTGTTCAAGCAAGTGAATTCCAGGATTTATGGTGAGATCACTGTGATCTGAACTTGAGCAGTGCAGCTGTCATTACTATATTTTGATTTAGTTTTTGCTTCAGATACTTAAGAAAGCTACAAGAATGAATTAAGCCATATGAAAATTCTAGTTTAAGTTTGCATTTGTGATACTGTTTTTGAAGTTTGGTTATTTCTCATGGTTTTTGTTTCATTTTACTGCTTTGAAACCTGAAGCCAGATTCTTTACTATCATCCTTGCAGATATGAAGGCCAGAAAATGGAATTTCTTACTGGAGGATTACCTAAGACTAAGTAAGAAATGTTCCATATTTTTGAAAGGCTTATTTTATTTTATTTATTAAAAATACTTATATAACCACCCATCTTATGTACCACAACTCTGGTCAGCTCACAAAACAGCTCACAAAATACACCTTAGCATTTGTCTCTAAAATAGAGATAACTGACATAGTAATGAATTTTGTTGGGATTCTCTGATTCTTTAGCTGAGAAAGATTGCTTACAGCTTTCACATGATAGCATTAGAAGCAATCACTATGATTTGAGATTCACTTTTAAAAACTACTTTATAACATAGGAATCCTGTGTAGGAAGATTTTGATCGGAATATTTTGACTAACCTTTATTCTAAAGTCAAAAAGTTTCTGCTTCTCTTCAGCTCAGTTTGAAGTGAGGTGGTACATCACCTTGAAACATGTCTTAAAAACAATGCAGTTGTCTGTCACTTGGCACAGTTGCTAATGAATTTCTGCTTCTTTGTGGGCTGATTGGAAGGACACTATTGCAGAAGTCTTGAGAGATGATCTTCTAGAGCACTCAAGCTGCTGAACTTGATAGAAATATGCCAAATATTGCTTTGATGTGGGAGAGAACCCAACACACTATTCAGGCTCTCCTTGTTTTCTTGAAAATGTTATCTGCCCAATTATTGAGAATTAGTTCAAAACCAATGCACATATTGCGTTAGATGCTGTGTTTAAGTAAGTAACTGCATGAACATCATCTATTTAAGCAGGCAGTTTTCTTTGTAGCTACGGATATAAGTATGGGAAATTGGTTTGATAATCTATTTTGGTTGCTTGAATGCATTGTCTTGGATATGTTTCATCCTTTTACTGTGGGTATCTATCTATCTATCTATCTATCTATCTATCTATCCATCCATCCATCCATCAATCTCCCTCTCTCCCTCCTCCCTCCATTTTGTCTCTATATTCACATTCTCTCTCTATATGCACATTTAGCTATTACCTAAATTGCTTCATTGTATTAAGATAAAAGATCGTTTGGAACAAGAGATAAAGCATCTCCTGAATGAATGACTCCAGCTACTGAGACATTCTAATTTCCTCCTCTTTTGCAAAGCAGTAAAAATAGTGTAATAGCTGTAGTTTGCTGGCATATAATTCTAATGTGTGGCTTTCTGAGCAGCATAACCCTATGTTTCAGCAGAGACAGCCTATTTGTCTTGTTGGTATAGTATAGATCAAAGCAAAGGAAGCATACTTAATGCTTAGCATATGTAACCTACAATTACAAATATAAATCCTTTCATATATTTTTGTGCTTTTGGAATAAAGGATTTTGTCCGTGTAGTAGGAGATCAAACCAGGCTACTTTGGAGAAATAAGCAGCCTGTAGTTTGCACTAAAGTTCTTATGATGAACAAAGTGAGTACAGATTTGAATTCCTGAACAAATTGTAAGAATTACATTTTATTTTTCAATATCTGTATTTTAGGATTTTCATTTCTTTTTTTCAAAAAAGGTTGAGAAATGTTCATTGGTTGTAAGGCCTAATACAGCAAAGCAGTATTTTCATTGCTTAAAAGTAAATTGCTAGAATTAGGGCTCGACATAAAATAATGCTTGAATTTTAGTATAAACTCAAACCCTACTATTTATCTTTCTGGCGAATTGTGTTTTCCTCCTTATTTATAGCTGCCTAGCCGAAGTTAGCAATATTATTCATGAAATAATTTGGGGTGAACTGGAATCCTTCTTTCTTAATTGGGTATGTACATATACACTTATAGTTCACACATACACACACATATATATCAATTTCTGAGGTGAACAGGCATGATCTATGTGCTGATTTTCACTTCATAAATTAACAACCTTTAAGCTCAGGTTACCTGACCAGAGTTGATATGTAAGATGGGTAACTATATAGACTTTCTAAATCAATCAATTTGTTCTGTCTATATTCTTTCCAGTGGAACTAGTAAAGAGCCTTCCGGAGCTTCAGCTGAAACCACTACCCAAGCCAGTAATAATGGCCTTTGTGACACAGTTTGAGAAATCTCTCTTAAAATCAGTAGATGCCCCGGAAGCAGACCTTGTAGGAGTGGATCCTAAACTTGTGACAAGCCTCCTGCCATTCCAGAGAGAAGGTGTAAAGTGAGTCAAGTCTGCAGCCCTCTGAGAGAGCACAACCTATGCTGGAAATGTTGACCCCGGCAGATTTATTAGCACCCAGCCTTGCCTTTTTTTGTTTTATCACCTACAGTTTTGCTATCTCCAGGGGAGGTCGTTTGCTCCTTGCAGATGACATGGGCTTAGGGAAAACCATCCAGGCAATCTGCATTGCTGCCTATTACCGAAAAGAGTGGCCCTTGCTGGTGGTGGCTCCTTCTTCAGTGAGATATACGTGGGCTGAGGTAAAGTCTTTATTTGCAGAGTTTTGCTTATCAGCGGTGCTTAGCTTCTATACACTAAGAGGTGGTGGGATTTTTTTTCTCCACTAGCTTCAAATATGATAAAACTCTAGGAAACTGTTATCCTTGAAGTCTGTTCCTTTATTGCTGTTTTGTTTTCGTTAATTATTTGGAAAGGAGAGTAATTTTATTTTGGATTTTCGAAATAGATGTTTGAGAAGTAAAAGGAAACTATTTCACCTTTGGGGTACATTTTAAGAGCAGCTTATGGCAATGGGGCCCCTGACACATCCTTTCAACCCTGATGCAGATTGGGCCATTTCTGTGAAAATGTCTGCATTGTAAGGCATCGTTTAAGACAAGAGAATGCGATATTTTAAGGAAATACTTATTTTTCAGACGGGTGGGAAAAACAAGAAATGGAGTATCAAAACCAGCTTACCAGCTGAAAAGTAATGCAAGTGTATTATTATTTCTAAATTTTGCTGGTTTCAATTCCCTATTTATATTTTGGACTAGGCTCAGCTATTATTTATTTCATTTATTTATAGAAGAAAATTTATATGGTGGTGACTCAGTGACTCCAGGCAGCTTACAGAGATAAAAACCTAATATAAAAAACAGTAAAAAGCAATGACCCCTGTATAATGCAAGGTAAATGTAGTTAAGAATTGCATAGCAGATTGTAGACTTAAAACTGAGCTATATAAATTGTATCAAGTTTTTCTTTTAATTAGCTATAATCTTTAAGCCAGAGGTCCCCAACCTTTTGGGCACCAGGGAGCAATTCTGTGGTGAGAGGCTTTTCCATGGACTGGAGGGTGTGTGGTTTTGTGTGCTGCCGGCATCCTGCGGATGGGTCTTTGCTTGTTTGTGCGGACCAGTTGCACAAAGCGAACCTCTGCTTTAAGCTATTCAGATGAAAAAAAAAATTCTTTCCCTTTATTCCCCCCCCCCCCTTTTCTACTTCTTTAGGCTTTCCATAGATGGCTTCCTTCCCTCGGCCCAGACACCATCACAGTCATAGCAACAGGCAAAGACCAAGTCTCGGCAAAACCGATTAACATTGTCAGTTTTGACCTTCTCAGCAAGACTGAGAAGCAGCTCAAAACCACCTTCCAAGTTGTGATTGTTGTAAGTAGCCTTCAGGCGGTGACTTAATTTTGGTGGACTGTTACAGACAGAGGCGGGAAACCTGTTCAACATAATGGGACTAACATGCAGTCGCTTCCTGTGCATAATCTGGATTTAAAACTTGTCCAAGCTGATAACTCACCTGCAAGCTAATATTTGCATAGGATACAGTAATGTTCTATGTTAAGATTAGAATTACTGTGTAATCCCCACTTCAGGGAACGTAGTTAAACGATCATGACAAATGGCTTAAATTTATTGCTGAAAAAATAACTGTAAACTATTCTTTTTGTATCTTTAGAAATACAAAAAAATAAGGCCAATCTATTGTAGATAAAGGGTGACCATGAACTGGGTTCTTGTATTGTTGATCTTGCATGTTACAAGTGTGTCCTGATCCTCACAAAAGGTGCACAGGAATTATTCTGTCTTACAATCAAATCATGATTTCTTAGAAACTGGCTGCCTTCTCCGTCACTACCTTCATGTTAATACAGAATAAATATAGGTAGTCCTCAGTTAACAATGGTAGTTATGACTGGGAACTTAATCTTGTACAGTTTATTAGGCACAGCATTACACGATCACTGTTTGCAACTTCCTGTTGGCCTCCCCATTTTTCTCTGCTAGTTGGAAGCCACCAGTGAAAGTCATAAATAGTGATCACATGATCACAGAACACTATGACCATCATAATTGCAGGATGGTTGCCAAGCGCCCGAATCATGATCTAAGATCATGTGACTGCGGGGACGCTGCAACGGCTGCAACTTTGAGGACTGGGCATCTCCCCATTCAGCACTGCTAATAACATCGAACAGTCACTGAGTGAACAGTTGCTAACCAAGGACTACCTGTAATTAGGGCAGTGTATGAATCTCTCATATAAATAAATACGGTTCTTGCTGACTATCTTGCGGAGTTCTAAGTTTGTATTTTACATGAAATAGCCCCCATGGGGTGTTCTGCTTTGCCTTTCCTGCCTTCAATCCTCCCTCTGCTGGTGACTGATATTAGCATAATCTTATCACCGATCAAGCTGGAGAAAGCATCATCTTAGAGTTGAAGGGGGGTCTATTATCCTTTCTCTGCATGGCTGCTTACTTGCTGAAATGCAGACAAGATGAGTACACTTCCAGAGACATTTCCAATTTCCTCCTTTCCTGAAGCTCCGTCTCCTAACAGCACTCAAGAGAGAATTCATTACTGAAAGGGAGCTTTCAAATGGTAGGTTATTATCTACCTGGTGAGCCTTTAGCAGCAAACCAGTTGGTTCCTAATTAGATTTCCTCCTTTCTGATATTTCTCATTAACCCCTTCATTTGGAAAGATTGGCATAGTAGCGGACTGACAGTTATCTGCATATAAGATGGGGTCTTGTGATAATCAAAGAAGAGGAATAGTTTAGAAGGGTCTTTCTTCCACTTCTCTTGTTATGTCTGGCTGCAGTTGTTGATTGGAAAACATAGACTTTGGTGATTGTTATCAATAATTTACATTTCCAATAAATTACCTTGGGTTGGGTTGGTTTTTCATTCCGTGTATTGCTGTGCCCATTGAGATTGGTTTATTTCTGGGCTCAAAACACACAGTGCATACAATACATCAGAGCTTTTTTTATTCAGAACCAGGCCCAAAAGCTGTTCAAAATTTATTGTGTTTCCATTTCTCCAATTTCAGGATGAATCCCATTTTCTTAAGAACGGTAAAACGGCTCGATGTCGGGCTGCAATGCCTCTCTTGAAGGTTAGTATACAAATTTTGAATGTAGAGACTGTTAGGCCCTATGTGTTCAAAAGGCCTGGTGTGTGTGTTGGTTAAAAACTTATGAGAAAGTTATAGATATTAAGGAGCAACATTACAGAGACAGACAGTTCAAGAGTTAGAGTTTAAACATCTCCCTGAAGAATATATTGTAATGGCCTTGTCTCAAAGCCTTATGTCATCATACTTCTCACTGTGAACTAATGAAAATAGGACACCAGATTTCTTTTTTCATTTTTATTCACAGATGCTCATTATGATTCTTTGGCTCAAAAGAAAAGAATCAAAGATTATTTCTTGTGGGCAAACAATAATAGGTATAAGCTCCGGTTTTTATGTTGTGATTAACACAACAGCATATGTTTTTGCCAGATGTATCCAGTATGGAAAGGTTTTAGGCAGATGATGTAGTATGAGAGTGACTTTGGGAGACAGAAGGAAGACCCACAAACTACAGTCTGATAAAAGAAATCTGAGTCTAAAAGAGAAGTGAGGATGGAGAAATCCCATTGCCAATGAAAATAAAACTAGAGTTAGGGTTAGGTTTAGATTTCCTTGGAAGAAACAAGAAGTTCTCTAAGAAAAGTTTACTTTTATGAATGTAAACCTCAAGTAAGTTTTGATCCTTGACTCCAAGAAAACCTAACACTAATCTTAGCCCTAACTCCTTTTTAATTTTCACTGCCAATGGGATTTTCCCATGCATTTTACTATGTTCCACAAATAAGGCCAAATGAAAATGTCTCATCCTCTCAGATGTCAGTTTTCAGCCCTGACTCGAAGGAAATCTAATCGTAACCCTAACCATACCCTCACCCAAGCCTAGCCCTTGTTTAATTTTCACTGCTAATGGGATTTTGCCAGGCATTTTACTGTGATCACAAATAAGTCCCAAAGAAAAGCTGTCACTCTTGCTTTCCTTTGGGAACCTCTGCGAATCTAACCCTGATGGCAGTTTTCAGTACTGACTCCAAGGACGTGTAATCCTAATCCTAATCCTAGCCCTTGTTTAATTTTAAATAGTAATGGGATTTTTCAATTTTATTGTGGTCGACCAATAAGTCCAAAGGAAAAAGTGTCACATTTGCCTAAGTTACAGAACATCTACAAATCTATCACTGACTTATGATTTTAGTTGTGATGCTAAGGAGACCTAACACTAAGTCTAACCCTAACCCTAGCTCTAGTTTATTTTTGCTTGGGAATGGGATTTTCACATATATTTTACTGTGGTTCACAAATTAGTCCGAACGACTACATATCATATCTGGTTTCCTTATAGACTCTATCCACACATTAGTTTTCAGCCCTGACTCTAAGGAGACCTAACCCTAACCCTACTTTCATTTTATTTGGTAAAGTGATTTTCCCATGTATTTTACCGTGGTCCATAAAAAGATCCAAACAGAAAACTGTCACTTCCAATTTCCTTAGAGAGCCTCTAAGAATCTATTTCTATCATAAGTTTTCAGTCCTAACTCCAAGGAGAGCTAACCATAGCTCGTTTCTCGGCTGCAGAGGCCTTCCAGAAAGGCCTCTGATGGCAAAATGCAGGCCCGAGCTCCATTCTCAGCTGTAGAATGAAGCTGCTCCTTTGGCTGCAGAAGAAGTGGGCTGGCGAGGCAAGTGTCGATCCATGGGAGGCCTGGCTGCAATGATAACTCCACCCCCCCTACACGTCCTACCTTGATTTTAGGCATGCACCTCGCCCCAAAACTAGGGTTTATTTTTGGGGTAGGGCTTATATTAGGCCCACCTCCAAAAATCAAGCTAGGGATTATTTTTGGGGTAGATCTTTTTGGGAAACACGTTATGTTACTGTGGTCCATAAAAAAATACAGTAAAATACATGGGAAAATCATATATCCAGTAAAATTCAAATTAAGGTTAGTGCTAGGGTTAGGTGTCCTTGAAGTCACTGCTGAAAACTGATGTCAGGATTAGATTTGCATAGGGTCTCTAATGAAGATGAATGTGACAGCTTTTCCTCTGGATTTATTTGTGAATGACAATGTATGGGGAGATCCTACTCCATTAAAATGTTTGGCAAGTCTGTGAATCAGAAGGTTGTTTGTTTGTAATAACCATATTTCCAGCCAAAATAAAAGGTCACGTGGTAAGTCACATAATTTGCTTGGTACCCATTTTTAGTACTTGTTGCTTGTCCTGGAATTAATCACAGACAAGTACCAAGGTACCATTGTATACACTTACTTTGAAAAATCTCATTTATATTAAAAGAAAAAAGATTTAATTATCAAGTACTGAGATATGGTAAGCATTCCTCAGATACTGAAGAATTCCTGGACAGACAGTCAGTCACTGAGTATTGTTTTCCAACAAAATTAACCTGGAAAATAATGATCCACCTGTACTGGTTATCTTAGTCACTAACAAAGTTAGCCCATCTTATCTGGATTTTGAAGCTAAGGTGGGTTGGATTTGGCTATTTGCATGGGAGGCTACTCAGAGCTTGTAGCCTAGATTGAAATGTTTTTTGACTTCCCAGGAGGCCTTGGCAAGCAACCTTTGTATAGCTGTCAAGAAAATGGCATATTTGTGTTTAAGTAGTCATCAGAAATTGAATTCGACAAGAGAGGATCTTTGTATTTTCTTGTTTATTTTCTATAAATATTGATATGTTAGTATTCACTATGTTATTATTCACCAATTAAAATGAAAACACCAAGAGTTCTATTCTAGGGATATTTAATAGGGGCCTTGTAAGTATCAAAAGTAAAAAGTGAAAATGATGACATGTAATCAAAACTTGATTAAAAAGCAGGGTCGAAGTTTCAAATTGAAACTGTTGAAGAGCAAATCTGAAAATTGCACTGGGGAAAGGAAAATTGGCACCATTGTAATATTAAAAGGTTATCTTAACTTCAGTATCAGTTACACTTTAATAGCTTCTTAAGATAAAATGGTGTTTTTTACCGTCCATTTTAAATATAATTTGCTAAGGAAAGGACTTTAGAGCAGTGATATATAGACACTTCAAACAGGCCCATGTATAAAACATGGGCCCAAAGTCTAAAATTCCATAAGTTTCAAAAGCAATTATGAACAGAAATATTCTTGGTATATCCACTGTAGAATTCTCAATCATCCATGATAAAGTATTGATGCTCCCTTGCTAAAGATTTAGGCAGCTATCTGGAAGTTATGAATGTATAATATAGTCTTCTGAGTTGGTTTCATATCCCAAATTGGAATATGAATCAAAAACAGTTAGAATTGGACAGGATCCAAATTGAATAAAATAAATAAATGCACCCTTATCATTGAAAATACAACTTGCACAATTTGGGGTTGGCAACAGCCAAATGCTCTAAAGTGCACATCTAGACCATCCATAGATTATCTACTACTTTTCCATCTCTAGAACAGTTACTATCAAAAGTAACTATGTAACTTCCAGATCATCTAGATTCAGAGTTTATCTCCTCCACTTTTGTATCCTATTTTGTTTTATTTTATTTCAAGACTTACAGTACGTGTCCTCCCAATTCACCAAAAATACAACTCTTGGTAGCATACAACAATAAAAACAAATTATCTTATCCCAACAACAAAAACAAAACATACTGGGTGAGGGAGCAATATACACCATGATATGATATCATTCATCATCATCATCATCACCATCATTTTTAATGGCAGTTTACAATAGGATATCCAATATAACTCTTTTTTATTTATATTCAAACTTTCTATAACTGATTTTTCCTGTAGTGAGTTAAACTTGCTTTGTTATGTAGAGGATTTGACTGAATGCCCTTTGTTCATAATTTAAATTAATCTCAACAAATACATCTACTCAAGATTCTTCTCTAGATACAATGATCCTTCTTGGATGCAACCTGTTTAATGGCATATCTAAAGCCAATATATTGACTTCCTCTTTTGTTCCTAAGACAAAGTACAAAACAGACCATTGAAATATAGGATTCTGTTGCCTTGGTACACAGAGGTGGTAGAAGTTCTGAAATTCTTATTCTGTAATCATTTATCACTGAGCTATAATCGTGTGAGTTGAATTACCTAAACAATTGTGATGGATATGAGCATGAGTTTAATGTTTGCAGCTTTGGTTTACCTCTGAAAGTAAGAACTAGCATGAATATGATTTTTTTTCCTGTGTGGGCTTCAAGAAGTATTATTTTTTACTTGTCTGGTAACCTGAGAACTTAATGCTCAGTTTCATCTATCAGAATACCACTTGTTTTGTTGGAGAACTGGGGCTTTACTATTTTTAAGGGCAGATTTTGTCAGAATTTTTTTTAGCCAATGTATTCATAGATCTGCTCCTCGTGGCTTTCTTTTTCTCTTACTTACAGTTAAGTGCTTATTCTTATATACTTTTATATACTCTCAATACTCTTTATTCTGTTTAAAGTTGGAATATACGAGGGCAATTCGGAAATAAACCTCTGTTTGGTTATCAATGACAAACACTCGTACATACAGCTTTTATTATACACATTAGAAAACTACAACATTACATTATGTAAGGACCCACCTCAGCTAACCACCCAAGAAAGCAGAACTCTTGAAAAAGGCATTGACTCAAAAGGAAACTTTTATTAGGGGTCAGTGACAGTGGGGAAGTCAAGGTCAGATCTGAGAAAAATTCCACTTAAACAGTATAGTTAAACTAGCAATATTCCTCCTCCCACCAAAGTCATAATGTCCATTTGAAATCCAGCCAATCCACAGGTGGCGACAATGTGCGGGTAACTGGCACAGTTGGCGTGCATCTCAAGGTCTTCTCCAGTTTCGACCGTCTCCCTATCACATTCCTTTCTTAAGTGGATAGAGGCAGGAGAAGAAAAGTAGAAAGCAAAAGTTATCCCAAGCAAAAATTAATATCTCCTCTCCCCCCAGCAGAATGGCAGGCCCCCAAAAGGAAAGCACAAGAGTAAATATGCAAGGAAGATAATAAGGATTTGGGGACCTGACCCATTACTTTTCGACATAATCGCCATTTAATCTGAGGCACTTGTCATAATGTCTTACAAAGTTTGAAATTCCTTCTGCAAAAAAAATCTCCCACCTGGTTATGAAGCCACCCTATAACAGCATTGTGAGATACATTGTTAAAGTGGTGCAACACAAGCCATTGTCTGAAGAGGTGGCAGTTGCTCGGCACCAAATCTGGGGTATGGGGGGGATGATCAAAAACATCCCAACGGAACTGCTTCAGAAGCTCTTGGGTGCATCTGGTGGTGTGCAGGTGAGCATTATCGTGAACCAACACCACACCGGAAATCATCATGCCCTGACGCTTGCAGGTATCGGGAACCAACAGACTTCATGGACTATTTTGTCAATTTCTGCATGAGTTCATCGCTGACTACAGATGGGTGGCCACTACTTGCCTCATCGTGCACGTTAGTTTGTCCATCTTTAAACATGCGACACCATTGACGTACGACACCTTCACTCATCACGTTAGGTCCGTAAACATTACACAGTTTGTGATGAATTGCAGCTGCCGAAAGTTTTTTCGCACACAAATCTAATTTGTTGATTAGAACACCCTTGACTTTAAATGCGAAGCAGCTGATTAAGGCAGGAGAGGTTGGCATCTGGAGGATGGTTGTAACTGTATCTCCAGTACAATATGGATTTTAATAATCACCTTGGTGCAAAGCACAGCAAATAGCATAGCAACCACAGGCTATGGAAATATTTTTTAAAACCCAATAAATCACTGCTTAGAAATAGGATACTTTTGCATAATCAGTGGTTTTACTTTTTAAAATGGTCTTCATATGCTCTTCATTTAGCCCTTTCAATCTCTTTATGCAAACTCTTACCCCTGATATTATAGCTAACCTATTTGCAAAACAGGTTCAAAAACAAAGATTCTATCTATTTCCTATATTCAATTTTTGCTGTCCCTTTATGTAGCTTGAAATTTTCCTTCAGTTCTTCTTTCAGTGCAATATATGCCATCACTTGCTAGCAGTGGCTGCCTTATTTCATTATAAATGAGATAAACAATGAGGAACTTTATAAGTGCTTTGGACTTCAGTTACCAGCATTTGTGATTAGCCTGGCTACAGGAGAGAGTTATAAACAAGATGCCAGAAAGTCACCATGTTGCTTGCCCCTCCATAAGACAAGTAGATCAGTCTTTTTGTGTATAGTTGGTTCTTGTGTAGTGACTATAATTAGGACTAGCAGCTCTGTCATTAAGCAAATCCATCGCTAGGTGGAAAAATCACATGACCATAGCTGTGTTTTCCTTTTCTCTACTCCCCAGCCCTTTGGAATGCTCATCCCAGCAGTGGGGTAATTATCAATTCTATTTACATTCATGGGAGAGGAAAGGATTATAAAAGAGTAAACAGACTCATAGTGGGAAATACACATAGACAGCAATGCAATCCCAGAGGCAGCCTAGAACACATTACAATAGCTGATGTACTCCCTATGTGTGTGCTTACTTTTTTGTAAACCCTTCCTCTTCACTCTGCAAAGAGAGGGAGGAAGGACAAAACAGAACACACATACTGGCTGTGATGGTGAACACGCAATTGAGGCATGTGAAGATCATGTAAATTGTAAATTTATTTTTTCAGCACCACCGTGACTTTGAATGATTATTGAACAAGGCAGTCAGTAAGCAAGGGCTACCTGTACACTGAAATAACAATATTCAAAAAGGAAGGAAGACCATTTCCATTTTCTTGGATATGCTTCCTGTTGATCTGATTAGTGCTCCTTTTCATCAGAAACATTTCAAAGGGAAGCTCCTACATGAAATGGCTGGACTAAGAATAACACTAATTAGTTAGGGTTCTCTTTATTTAACTGGAATCAAGCATCAGCTAACCAGAAAAAAATTTTTTCAGGTACTCTGTTTTACTAATAAAGGAGGATATTTGTAGCTCAGGGTTGATATGAGGGGTCCTTGGTGCGTTCTGAGCTTGCTTGATTTCTTGCAGACGTTTCGTTACCCAAACTAGGTAACATCATCAATGCTAGGATCCAGATTGTTGGGGGCAATATGTTGACTCTGTAAGCCGCTTAGAGAGGGCTGTAAGGCACTGTGAAGTGGTATATAAGTCTAAGTGCTATTGCTATTGCTAGTCTCTCTGTTTTGACTGCTGTCCAGCATGTTATTTGAATGTTCAAAGTATGATGCTACAAATAGACTTAAATTGCTTCCATATCTGAATAGGAGTGTCTTGTCCATGGCCACCTATTGAGTTGCCAGGAGAGCTGAGATTAAAGCAAGTTGGCACCTAGGTCCACCATTTCTGACCAAGGAGGATTTTCCCCTTCTCATTGCTTGGTATAATTCACTTTTGTGACTTTTTTCCCATGCAGGCTGCCAAAAGAGTAATCTTATTATCAGGAACCCCTGCCATGTCACGTCCCGCAGAGCTATACACACAGATTGCAGTGGTCCGACCAACCTTCGTCCCTCAGTTCCATGCCTTTGGGGTCCGCTACTGTGATGCTAAACAGGTAATCTAGGTATACTTGTATATCTGCCAGAAAAAGGCTATTCGGAAATAATAATCTTCCATGCTGAAATGCTCTATATAGATTTAGCAGATTTGGTTTGCAGATTCCTTTCTGTAGAGAGAATCACTTTTTATAGCACCAACTGGCTTGTAGAATGCATGCACCTGTATTTTTTTTTTAAATGAAGCCCTTAATGAAAATAAAATTCAGTATTTCTTGCGCAAATGATAAAAGCTGAGAAGCTTTAGGAGAATCTGATCTTCTGTTGCCATGGTCATACATCTTGTATGTGGACTTTATTGTTAAATTCTTTACCCAGAATCTTCCTTTTATCCAGAATGACTCTTTAATAGCATCCCTAAAGAATATTACCATTTTATTTTGTAAAATGCCACAGGTTGTTCCCAAAATTCTTTGACCATTCATATTCATATAAATATTCATTTCTTTACCCTACAGAACGATTTCATTCCAAAATTAACTGTAACGACTTCCTATGTAATTTATAGACATGTAGGCATGGTTCACAGAATTATTAGCTAGGATTTTCTAGTTATTGTTTGTTGATCAAGTGTTACAGCCTTGTGTTAGAGAATTTTTATTTCTCTAATTGGTGAAAAATAAATCAGAAGCTCTTACAGTTGACTGCATTTAGCTGATTCAAATAACTTTATATTTATATAAAAATATTTATAATACCATTCTTCTTTACAGCAACATAGCTTAATGAAGACTTCTTACAGAGACAGACCAGAGACAAAACTTTGAGACTGGAAATCCAGCTCCTAACTCAATACTCTTTTGCACAGACTCAGTAGCACTTTCTTCACATTGGCTGACTGAGTTACCACATGACTCTTCCTCCTCATGAATATTCCAACACCTTGTTTATACATAATGTGATTTGTTTGATAGGTTATCTCTGTGTGTAACCCACAGCATGGAATGAACAAAGTAGAAAAGGAATGTACTGTAGCCAGGCCTCTTATCTTTCTGAAATAGGACCAAAAATTAAGAAGAACTTACTATGGGTGCCCAGTGCAGATAATTTGCTCCCCTAGTTTCCTGCAACACCAGAATTTATTGATTTAACTCTCTTTCTCCAAATATCAGGCATGGAAATGTTTGTGGTTATATTAGGTTATGTTAACAAAAAAATATGTGAATAGCATACCTTGAATAGATGAGGGTATATTGCTACTGAGTTTTTGGTTAAATTTCAAGCATAGTTACAAGTGTTTTCAGGATATCAGGATCTAAACATTATGTCAGCATTCATAGATACATTCATAGAAGAGAGCCAGTTTAGTGTAGTGGTGAAGGTGCAGCCCTAGATACCTAGAGACTAAGAGTTCTCGACCTGCTTTGTGCACGAAAACCAGCTGGATGACTTTGGGCCAGTCATTCTCTTAGCCCAGTGGTTCTCAACCTATGGGTCGGGACCCCATTTGGGGTCGAACGACCATTTCACGGGGGTCACCAAACAAGGCTGTCCACCATTTTTCCCCCTTTTCTTTGGCCACGCCCCTGGCACCCGGTGATGTATAAGTGGTTGGGGGTCACCACAACATGGGGAACTGTATTATGGGGTTGCGGCATTAGAAAGGTTGAGAACCACCGTCTTAGCCCAACTCACCTCACAGGATTATTGATGTAGGGAAAACAGGAAGCAGGAGTATTAGGTATGCTTCACATCTTCAGTTATATATTGAAAATACAGCAATAGCAATAGCACTTAGACTTATATACCGCTTCACAGTGTTTTACAGCCCTCTCTAAGAAGTTTACAGAGTCAGCCTATTGCCCCCAATAATCCGAGTCCTCATTTTTCTGATCTTGGAAGGATGGAAGGCTGAGTCAGGCTTGAGCCGGTGAGACTCGAACTGCTGAACTGCTGGCAGAATTAGTCGGCAGTCGGCAGAATTAGCCTGCAATAGTGCCTTCTAACCCCTGCACCACCACAGCTCTTATAAATAATATAATAATAATTTGGTCTAACGGTTAAGGCACCAGGGTAGAAACCAAAAGACTAGGACTTCTGACTTAGGCATGAAACTGACTGGTTGACTTTGGACCAATCACACTCTCTCAGCCCCCACCTCCACCCCACAGGATTATTGTGAGGAAAACAGGATGAGGAAGGAGTATTAAGTATGTTCACCTTTCTTATGGATAAAAATAAGAAAGGCGGAATAAAAAGTTAATAAATAAGGAAACAAACAAAATGCATGCTTCCCAGAATGGGCCCGCCATTAGTTAGTGGGAGACGTGAGTGGAAAAGGCACTTCTAGAATAGAAAAAAAACATGCCAGATCCTCCAACCTGGGCATCTTCCAGATGTGTGGCTTTCAAGTTCCAAATAGATTTTTTTTATGACAATTTCAGAAGTTCAAAGATATACTTCTGCAGGGCTCCCCAATTGGGAAAGACTGCAGAAGCCCTGACACTGGTTGTGGGGCTTTTGGAGGCGTTTTTTGGTGGACATCAGGATTATTTTTCCACCATTGTTTCTTTTCTGTCTCTCTCCATCTGTCTTCTGCCTGCTGCCCCAAGTGTTCAGGTTACTGGTGTGGGAAGTAGGTAAGAGAGAACTGTTGGATACCAGAACATCATAAAACCCTCCCTTCTATCTTTCAATATCTTCCCATTGTATTCTTGCAATAGGCGGATACAAGGCGGATGCAATTTTGCTGTATAATAATGCTGCCCCAATATGACTACAGGTGCTTAAAAATCATTGCTATAATAAAAAAAAGATATTCTTACTATCAACCTCCTTATTTGGTTTAGCAAAAATTTTCCAACCTAAATAACATTTATTTAAAAAAAATCTATTTAAAAGGAATTGATTTAACTTCAGGGCAAAAAACCACAAAATCAGCAGCAAAAGCAATAAGCAAAATGCAGAATTATTTTATTGGTTTATAATCCAGCTCCTTGGCAAGCGCCACAAAAGAAGCATTGCCTGTTTTTATTTATGAGCCAAGCCTTGCAATAGTAGGTGTTTTGGAGTCATTTTTCATAACTGTCAGAAATAAAGGTTTCCTTGTTCAGATATGAAATGGTACACTTAGAGAAGCTCTGATAGTTTCAAAAGGGTCAGCAGCTTTTGGTAAAAAAAAAAAAAAAGTAGGAACACAAAGCAGAAAGAAAGCACTCTGTGACAGGGATGGCCAAGTTTGTGCTTGTGGAATCTTTACTAGCACCCAATTCTACCACCCATCATCAAATGTAACATAACAGCTTCAATGAGACACTGGGTACCTTCAAGCTGATGCTTAGAAATTTGTGACCTGTATCTAATCCTAGTTTACATAAAAGCTGTTCCTCCTTTATTGTTTTCAGCTATTTATTTTAACTAAGAAGCTTTTTTGTTGCTGGTTCTAAAGAGTTAGTAATCTCACTGCACTTATCCAGAGATTTATTTGAATTAGACTTGCCAACAGGACTACAAAGAGACTGATATTTTTAGGGTGCCATAAAGGACAAATGAGTACTGAAGATCTCCTTACAATTAAAATGCAAGTCCTTACAATTGGGAATAATTTAATAATTTTTATTAAAAGTTTTAAACCAGAAGATAAAAACTAATATAAAGAAGATAAAAGAAAAAAAATACAAGAAAAGAAGAAAAGTTGAAGAAAAAGAAGAAAGAAAAATGTATAAAGAAGTGGCTTCTGGTATTTTTTACAGCAGTTATAAATACAAATATATTTTGATCTTTCTCTAAAGTTACATCGTATTGCTCTTCTTTTTATAATCTACCCATTCTAATAATCAAACCCATAAATCAAAAGTTCATTTTTTTTTATTTTTATGCAAAGGTTCCATAAGAGTCTGAAATGGGTGTTTTAAAATGTTTATTGTGCTGATGTGTTTTGTGAGTTGCTTTGCATTGCAACTCACATTAATGTTCTGTTTGAATTTCAGCGGCCTTGGGGATGGGATTATTCTGGATCTTCCAACCTTAAGGAACTGAAACTCCTATTAGAAGAAACTATCATGATCCGTCGCCTGAAATCTGATGTGCTTTCTCAGCTTCCTGCAAAGCAACGCAAAATGGTAGTGGTAACTCCTGAAAGGATTAATACAAGAACCAAGGCTGAGTTGGCAGCGGCTGCAAAGGAAATGGCAAGGGTTTTTAAAAGTGTAAGTTGAATATATTGGTCTAGAATATGGCTGTATTTAATTAGAATGCTAAAATAACAGTTTGAAAATGCAAAACATGGTTTGTTTGTTTTCTAAATGAATGTCTGCTTGCTAACAGTTTGAAAATGCAAAACATGGTTTGTTTGTTTTCTAAATGAATGTCTGCTTGCTAACTATAATTCTAGAACGTCACATCTCAGAATAGTATTAACCCATGAAGAAAGGACATATCCAATAAATTTCTAAAGCTGAGTTCTTTAAAACCAAACAAATCCACTCTGTGCTTTCTCTGTAATAATTATGAAAGCTCAAACCATAGTATTGATTCATAACGAAGATTAGCATAAAGTAGGGTTTGGCACAACATGCTTGTGTTTGTATGACTCTATACAGGTAAGAGGTGGTTCTGTTTGAATAGGCTTGTTATGAGGCAAGATCACCGACTATGCAGATTTTAATGAAGATTTTCCCATTTGGCAGATTGGAGAGGAAACAGAGTCACTTTGGTTAAGTGCTGCCATCGTTTCAGAGACAGTTACAAGAAGATAAAGTTCATGGGTGGAAAACCTTAAGTCAATGGTTCTCAATCTGTGGGTCGGGACCCCATTTGGGGTCGAATGACCATTTCATGGAGGTCGCAAACAACGCAGTCTGCCATTTTTTCCCCCTTTAGCTGTGCTACTCCCTTTTATTCTATTGGCTTTTGAAAGCCAATAGAATAGACTCTCTTGAATAGAGTCTAATTCTATTGGCTTTCAAAAGCCAATAGGAATTGTCCAGGCTGTCTCTGCTCTGCTGAGCCCGCCAAAAGCCCCAGTCTGCAAACAGTGCTGCAAGTTGTCTGCAGCGAAGGCAAGCTGTCTGGAAGTTTCCACCCCTCCCTGCTGAGCAACTACTAAAAATGTAAGTAAAAGAGGGCCAGGGGTGGGAGGTGGGAGGCCAGCGGATGCAGGGAGGGTTGCTGGTGCGCATGGGGCCCGGCGGGTGCCTTATCTCCCAGTGGTCGGCCTGCGCCATCTCTGCTGCTTGCCAGCTACGCTTCGGCTGGCGCAGGGGGCAGCACCACGCATGCGCGGTGCTCCCGGGCAGGGAAAGTCCTTGACTTACGATTGGTTGGGTAGTCCTTGACTTACGACTGGTTGGGGGTCACGGCATTAAAAAGGTTGAGAACCACTGCCTTAAGTCAGGCCCATTTCACATGTTATGCATTGAATGTATCTTTAAATGGATCTAGGTCAAAAGCACCCGGGTAGGGAGGATGGCACCTAAGAAACTTAAATAATGAAATGTTGTAAGTCTGCATGTTCTTGGTCACCACTACTTTAGAATAAAAGAAAATGAGTTTCATAAATAGTCAAAGAAGAATTTCTTTTCCTATTAGAGTTATTTAATGTTCCTAGGACTTCTTTGGTGCTTTAATCAAAGCCTTATGATTTCTAAAATGTTTTGAGTTGCAAAACTGATAAATAATACATAGATGATGTGAAATCCACTGATATTCATTTTGTTGAATCTATGATAAATTATAGAACTGTGACTGTAGAAATATGCTATGTAATAAATTTGTTTCAAATAATGTATCCATTTTGATACATTATACATGTATCATTAGCCATGGGAAATATACTTTATATACATTATATATATATAAGTTATACATTAACCACGAGATAGATATTAGCTATAGTGAAAAAAGGAAGTTACTAAGGGACTTCCAAACAGATTGCTGTTTCACATTATGGTAGCTCCCCATTAACTCATCGATAGTGAGATGGGCAGCATATAAATTCAACAAATAAATAAATTGGTGCCAAGCATTTTCAGAATTTCACAGTTGTCAAATTTAGCAAGTACTACTAGTTTGGGGGCAAGAAATTTGGGTTTATAAATTTCTGAAAACTCTGCCTTTTGTTCTTGGTTTAATGAGACTAGTTTTTAGCACCATTCTTAATCCTAATTCACCTAAAAGTAAAAAGCAAAAGGAGGATAGGCTGGGGTAGTAATTAATTTGCATTGGGTTGAATATGCAATTCAGAAGTTCTAGGATTAAAAAAAAATGGTACTTCAAAAAAGTTGTGAATTTTTCTTACCCTTTGAGTTTGCAGGTATCACCAATGAGTTTTTCAAATAACTTTTTCAGAAGCAAGAACAGAAGGACGCACTCATTATCTTCTACAACAAGACTGCAGAAGCCAAAATTCACTGTATCCTGTAAGTTGCTTTTTTGGCTTGTAATGCAACAAATTACTAGATCACTCCTGGCTATAATGGAAAGATGCAAGATAATGCAAGATAAGCTTGATTTGCTGGGATCCTAGAGAAATGTCTGTGTTAAAAGATTAAAAATTATAATGGAAATGTCTGTAGTGAGACAGTCTGATGAATTTTATCAGAGTTGTGCTCAGTGATACAAACATCAATTGTTCCCATTATTTTTACTTAACATTTATTAATCATTTTGATTAGGCAATTTTTTATGTAGAGATTGCTAACAGTAAGATGAACTACCAATCAACTAAAGTAACTGTTTCCTTACCTTAGAGGTGCTCTGCCTTTCTTTGCTTAACATATGGCTAATAGGCTTTGAATTCTCCAGGCTGTGAATTTGGGAAATAGCATAAGAAGAGATGTTAGGTGTTACAGGAATCTTTGTAGAAGTCACAATAGAGTAAGATGCGAGCCCGGGACTCAGCAGCATCCAGACCTCTCTTTGTGAAGGAATTTTTCTGTATGTACCCTCAAGAACTGCTAACAGTAAGATGTCAAACTGTGTTGGCTTAAATGTCTTGTGGTATTTGTGAAAGGTGAATTCCTCAAGGTATCCTAAAAAACAGATCTGATTTTCCTGTGTATTTATAGAAGTGTGACTAAGTTTCATATGAAATCCAAAAGCCTTTCTTAAATTTTGCCATGGCCTGCTCATGACTTCAAGGCCAGCAATCGTATCCACAATATTGTTGTTGCTTCAATGTTTTGGAAGATTGATAGCTATTGGCTAGAGTTAGCTATTGACCAAGCCTTTGGAGACAACACTTAAAGTCAACTCTCAGTTTGACTTTATTCAACATTACCTTTGTGTTGATTGAAGGCAAGTAATAGATTTTTAGCTAGTACTTTTGATTTTGTGGTGCCAAAAGCTCTGGTCTAAATTATCTTGTTTCCACGAATCTCAAGTGCATGCAAAAACAATAATATTTCTGTTTATTGAGCTTTCTCTAATTGCAGAGAATATATCCTAGATTTATTGGAAAGTGGAAGACAGAAATTTCTGGTATTTGCTCATCACAAACTAATTTTGGATGCAATCAGTGAGGAACTGGAAAAAAAGGTACAGTTGATGGTACATAACTCCATAGTCAGGTCATGACTTGAAGGTGGATATCCCTGATCCTAGTTCAATTCTTTAGCTAATCATTGTTTTTCCTGAGACCTGAAAAGGATTTCTTCCTACTTTACCCTGACAACAAACCAATGACGTAGGCTGTAACTGAATATAAGGAAAACAGAGGATCCTATACTAAAGCTCCCCTGGTGAGCTCTCCTTTGCTGGATATTTTCAAGTAAAGGCTGGATAGACATTTGCCAGGAATGTTTTAATTTGGATTCCTGCACTAAGCAGGAGGTTGGACTCACTAGTCTAAATAATCTACTTTACACAAGTATTCCTCACATTTTAATTCTGCTGATGTAACTGAGTCCGATAGTTTGTAGTTATTTTGATTGCTAGGTGATATAATGACTGAAAATGAGCATATATAGATTTTGCCTAATGTTTGACTATGGGGCCACCTAGAAGCTCTCTTTCCTTGAGTCTAAACAATTTGGGACACAAATGGAATTTATCTAAGTACAAGTGTAGCAATGTGACTTGTAATCTCTTGGTTCTAAAAAGCTCAACTTGGCATAGTGAGAGCAAATCTTTCCATTTTCGGACAGGAACTAAGAAAGAAGCAAACCCCGATGATAAGTTAGTCTTTGTTTCTTCACCTTCTCTTTCAGAATGTAGGCTTCATCCGTATTGATGGTTCCACTCCCTCAGCTGAACGTCAGTCCTTCAGTCAAGAATTCCAGTTGTCTGAGAAGCTGTCTGTGGCTGTCCTCTCCTTGACTGCAGCTAATATGGGGCTTACCCTCTCCTCTGCTGACTTAGTTGTATTTACTGAATTGTTCTGGAATCCTGGGGTAAGAAGACTTTGCTCAATACTGCTTCTGCTAAAATAAATTATCCATCCATCCAATAAATTTACCTTGCCCCCCATCTCGTATTCATGACTATGTGCAGCTAACAATTTAAAAAAACAAGGCAGAATAGCCCAAAATTAAAACAATATTATCATTCTGTTTAAAGTAGAAAATATAAGATTATTTCACCCAGAGAAGGAAGAATTTACACAGAAGAAGTAATTTCACTTCACATAATTTTCTACATAAACTAGTAGCTCTAATTCTTTAATGCTGACATTAGCCTTCTAGGAGAATTGCTTTGTAGCTATGGTCATTGATGAAAGTTAGGGGAAAAAGCATCGCCTGCAGGTAAGTATCGTTTGTAGGATTCTTTCGTCCCACTCTCTTTTATTGATTTTATGTTAGTGTTCTTTTGTCAAAGTTAAAAAGTTAAAACCAGTTTGCTTTATAAGCTTTCTTACTATTAAAAAAAATCCACTGGAAATAGTGGCATGCTAGGTCTGCTTCTCTTAGCATAGAGAAGACCAAAAAGCTTCCTTGGAATCTCTTCATGTGACTTAAATGATGAAAAATATGCTGGAAATTAACTTGTTAGTCTTCACTGATAGAAGTTTTTTGCATATGGAAAAAAAAAGGAAGGGATAGGATTAGTATGTTTGTTTCTTGCATGCAAAACATCAATTTTATAAAGTCTGAAGAAGGTTAATGAATCATTCTTTTAATGTAAATGGGTGCAAACCAAATAATCAACTAATCATGTAAACGTGGATTAGCTACATACTCTCTGAATCTTGTTCCCTAAAATGGAAACATTAGGAATTTCAGCCAGCAGTTCTTTTTTCAATTAATTTTTGTCACCCACTTGAAATGGAAGTATAATGGTTTATTGTATATTATTTATTGGAGTATTGTTTATTGGTTTATTGGCTCATTTATTGGTTTATTGATCACAGCAGTTCCCTTTGTTTTGTCTAATTTATATATTCTACTTTTAATATTAGGTTTTGATGCAAGCAGAAGATCGGGCACATCGAATTGGACAAACTAATTCTGTGGATATCCATTATTTGGTAGCAAAGGGCACAGCAGATGATTACTTATGGTAGGGAAAAGAAAGTGTTTTTATGCTACTATAGATTATGACTTATGATCCTGAAAAAATAAAGGGTACTTCATTAGGAATCTTGAGTTCATTTGTACTTCTATCATAATAAGATGGCACATTAGCACTGTTTGCTGATCCTCTTCTTGCTGTCTTTTTTTTCCATATCCTGATCTCATCAGTATGACAGATAATGATAAAGTACTTGGATTCTAGAAACATGCAATTGTAGGATTTTGCTGCAGAAATTGAAATTGCTTTGAAGTGGTTACCCCTAGAAACCAGGTGGTTAAAGCTCCAGGCTAGAAACTGGATGAACCATGAGTAATAGTAGTTGTTGATAACTGAAGTTACTTTTTTCCCAATAGGCCACTGATTGAAAAGAAGATCAGGGTGTTAGGTGAAGCTGGTTTATCAGAAGCCAAATTCTCTGAGACAGCAGAAACCACAGATTACTATACCTGCAAGGTAAACTACTGTATGGCAAACAGTGTTTCATAGTTTAATGTAAAGTAGTTTTTCTTAAAATAAATAATACTTTGAGCATTAAAAGAGGAAGAAAATTGGGATTATAATACATACCAAATGTATTTATGACATTTAGACATTTATAACAATCCTTTAGAGCAGGACTGATTCCTTTAGAAAATCCTTCACCCTTGCCTGTGCTGGCTGTGACTGATGGATAAATCCAGAAGGCCACAGTTCCCTATTCTTGCTTTAGAGAAGCAAAACTAATTATGGGAGAAAGAGCAGAGACATGTGGGGGCTGCAGTTAAAACAACAACAGTAAAAATTTCTGATGTGACCAAAATGATGTGAAACAATTTTGAAGTAAAGCCAGCTGCAGACACTAAACATTTACTGAGCCTAAAATTGGTGGCTTGCAGATCTGTGGGCACAAATGCACTTCAGCCTAATTTCAGAAGACTTCCACAGGCAATAAATTCAAAGCTCTATTAAGCATTATCTCTCTCTTTCCCATAGCCTGATGCTTGAGAAGGAGAGAAGAGAAAGGCCAGAAAAGAAAGTGTGCTCCAGAGAAAGAAGGAACACACTCATCCATTTTTGCTTATAGCCACACCCACTCATCTGTCTAGGGCAGCTATGTAAAGTTTATGGATTTACTCAAATAAAACTTGTCAGCTTGTATGTGCAATGCGAGTGAATTGATCTTTCCCTAGGAATACACCACACTTAGAAAGGTAATTACAAGTAATGCTTGACATATGATATAATGGAGCCCGCCCATTATGTTCATATGTCATAAGGCAAAGATTTTACAACTTTATTAAGTGGCTGCAGCAGTTATAAAGTGACAGCAGTGATAGTTAAGCGAATGCTGCAATCGTTAATCAAACCAATGTTTTGCTATCAGTGCAGTTTTGCTGAAAAAATGAATTAAATGCCAATTTTTGGCAAAACCATTATAAAATGAGGTTCATATGACCACAAGATGCTGCAAGCTGCCATAAATGTGGCCGTGCTGTTGAGCACCTAAAGTTCGATCACATGACTGTGGAGCAGGCCTGACCATCAGAACTTCGAATCCGGCCTGTATGTCCACTTTTGGGGGTCAGTCATAACTTTAAACAATCACCAAGTGACCAGTCTTAAGTGAGGATTACGTGTACCTGCAAGATTACTTATTTTGGGGAGGTTAGTGCCCATATTTAACAGAATAACAGAACTGGAAGGGATCTTGGAGGTCATCTATTCCAGCCCCCTGCTCAAGCAGGAGACCTTATAGCATTTCTATCGTGGCTGTACAGTCTCTTCTTGAAAGCCTCTGGTGATGAAGCACCCACAATTTCTGAAGACAAGTTGTTCCATTGATTGTTGATTGTTCTGAGAGTTCTCCCTATTTGTGGGTTGAATCTCCTTGATCAGTTTTCATTGTTCCTTGTCTAGCCTTCGGGCGCTTTGGAAAATAGATTGTTCCCCTCATCTCTGTGACAGTCCTTCAAATATTGAAACACTGATATCATGTCACCCCTGGTCCTTCTCTTCACTAGACTAGCCAGGCCCAGTTCTTGTAACCATTCTTCATATGCAGTGCTTTTTGACAAACTTGTTCCTTTGCTATGGAGAATTTGACCACTAGTTTTCTGTGTCTCTCTTATTTTATTTCAGATGGCAGGGAGAAATAAACAATTATATGGTTCAGTTCTCATTTTAATATCTGAAGGCTTTTTGCTTCGCTTTGCATTTCCAGTGTTAATTTTCTGAACTTATGTCTTATTGATGAACGAAGCTATTTTGTTATAAAGAAATAAGTTAACAAGAATTCGACAAAGGCTTTCTCTTTAATTCCACAGGTGGACCCCAAACAGCAGACCATGTTGGAACTTTTCCAGAGGACTTTCTCAGAGGATATAGAGGACATGGATGAAGCCTTCCTTGGGGAGATAGTGGAGACATGTGAAGATTCTGGGCAGGAAAACCCATTGAACAATAGAGCAGGACATTTTTTCTCAGCAAGCCCATGCAAAAAAAAGCGTACTCAATAATTTCCATGGACGTATGAATATTATAGAATTACGGCTGTTTTTGTTAGTTAAAAAGTGTTATTTAAAGAGAAAAAAAATCAGTGCCATCAGTGAATTATTTGGTTGTTCAAATAAACTATATTTAAATATGTTCTTGAATTTTGTATTAAGGATAATGATATATTGTTATTTTTATATAATAAAACAAATCTTTATTTTACTCAAGTCACTTATAGTTCAAAGCTCTGCATGCTGGAACATAATGGGACCCGAGTCTCAGGTAACTGTGTTTTCAGATTGAAATTCTAATCCTCTCAACTATTGAAAGACAAAGCTGCAATCATAAGAATTGCAAAGGTTCCTGGGTCATCTATCCAAATATTTACTTTAAAGCAATATTTTTTTCTCAGGATATGCCAGAGGCTCAACCGGAATAAATTTTTTTGCCAGTGGAAATTGGAATTTGGCCAAAATTTGAATACTATGATTTTTGTTCAAATTTTAAATGTTGGTATTCTATCAGTAAAGTAACCAATACCTGAATGTTTGTTTAGGTGTTTTCAGAACAATTAGTGGATCTGTAAAATGTTTTGAAGGAACATTCAGTGAGAGGAAAAGTTAATATTAAAGATTATAAATATCAAGCAAATAAATAAATATATAATAGACATCCAAGAAAAGGAATAAAAGTGTATTCCTTTTATTAATTCATATTAAGTTGAATAGAAGAGCCAGTTTGTAGTAGTAGTTAAGGCTAGAAATCAGGAGGCTAGAAGTTCTAGTCCTGACTTGGCCTCAAAGATAAGTTTGGGCCAGTCACTTTCTTTCACCCCTAGGAAGGGAGCAATGGCAAACTATTTCTGAAAAACCTTGCCAAGAAAACTACAGGGACTTGTGCAAGCAAAGTCCAAGAAGAATCAGACATGAGTGACTGGAAGGGGAAACATGTTTTAATAGGCTTCTTGGAAAATGGAGCACAAGATTGCAGTTAAAACCTTAATTAAAATTTTACTTAAAAAGGTATAAATTTTGAGTTTAACTGAACAAATATTAGCCCAAACCAAAACCAATTTACAGCTGATAGTTTAGGTCCTTTTTCTATATATAATAAAACATCTGGCACAGTCAATTGCTGTGACTATGATGTTGCCTTCATCTTGGTCTCAGCTTGTGAGTGACAGGCTTAAATCATTCTGAGCTGTACCAGCATTGAAATAACAGTTTCCCCTTTATTCAAATATAGCCCAAGGCCAGCCTCAAGGTATAGACAGTAAAATCTATTAGGCTTTGTCATCTACTAGCTTCAGTGGAAGTCAGATGATCCCAATGACTTGAAATGAATCTGTTTATTGGTCATGTGTATGTACTACATGTTTTTTTCTTTTTGGGACAGAGCATGTTTGCAATTTCAACTTTACAGCTTTCATCATTCTCCTGCCCCACCACCAAGATATTCTGTGCTTGCTGTTCGTTGAGGACATATGCCCCATCCTGAGCGTACGTCCTGGTGAAGCAGATCAAGGTGATCCAGCAAAAAATTAGTGTCATGCTTTGAAAACTACAACAGCTTTTTCAATATGTAAATTAGTGTATCTGTTCCATGTGGAGGAGAGGAACCCAGGGAAGCTAATGATATCTGAGGCTCCAATTGTCCATTGAAGAAAGGCCCCCTTCCATTTGGCATTGGACTCTGTGATCATGTCTCCTTTAGCTGCAGAGGCATTCTGATAGCCATTTTTTTTTTTTTTTTTAGAATTTGGGATCAGTGAGCTTATAGAATACCTTCTACCAGAATGTTATTCTCAGTGATAATATCTGCACATCACATCACTGCTTTTTAGGAATCCCCACTCATTTCTCTCATTTCAGTGTTTCCCTTTAACAGCCCCAAAACTAGCATGATGTCTTCATCTTCCTGCTCCACTGTGGTGTACAACGGATGGCTTCACATATCAGACTGAGCCAAAAGCTTATTATCTTGAAAATATCCTTTATGGAGCTAATTATAGCAATCCAGTCATGCTGCCAGATATTGAAGATACTTGTAAAACATTCGTCTTCTCATTTTTTATTAAAATATACAGGTTTTTTTAAATGAAAAATATGTTCATATCTATGGGCTTAATGGTTATTTTTACATGATACAATAAATATTATACATGTGTCAATTTTTAATATGGTGAGCATTGATACAAGTTCTTTTGGGAGTTCTCTGTAATTTTTAAAAGAGGAAAGGGTTCCGAGAACAAAAAGTTTAAGAAACAGGGCTGTAAAGAAATGTATCGGCACCCATTTTTTCCAGAAAGGAGTGTTATGCACAATCCTAGCCATTTTTCTATAGTAAAAATATTGTTTATAAATAAATAAATACGATGTGTTCTATCGTTTATTTTTTTTAAAAAAAAAATATTTCACCCGTCGAACAATACTTTTTAATTACGCTTGCATGAACAGCAAAAGGGGATATTGCGGAGTGAAAAAAATCGAAAACACGGGATGCTTATTTTCGCAAGTACTGAAAAAAAAAAAAAGTTGGTCCAACGGGATAGTCTGACCAAAGAATTAATGGAGCGTAAAGGAAAGGCCAGACTCTATCGTTAGTCACGTGTGTAGACTTTTTCTTCCGGTCTCTTCTGCCGACAGTGCGCATGCGCAGAAGGCATTTCCTTCTTTCTCTCCGCGGCCTGTTGGAGGAGCAAGATGGTGAGTGGAGTTGCAGATTTCATTTATATTCGTTTTCATCTGCTGCCATCTTTCTTTTACTCGCATTTTGCGGGACCAGCATCTGGAAATATGTGGGATGAAATATCTGGGGAAACAATATCTGGGGATATTGGGCGTATTTGGGGATGATCCTGGGGCGGACTCGCCAGAGACTCCCGGGTAGAGCCGGCTTCGGTAAGAATTGCGTTGTGTGAATGAATGCGTAGAGTCTGTGTTAGCTAAGACATCAAGCTTTTGCCATTGCTTCTTTCTGGCGCTTGAATGGAAAGCCCCTACTTTCCATTGTTTTCTTCCCTCGCATGGAATTAAACGCTACAAGTCTTGTTGATTGATTTGAGGTCCTTCTTTTGTACAAGGGTGATCTTGTTGGAAAAGGTAGCCTATATTTGCATTTCAGCCACTTACACTTTTTAAAAAAAATAGTTGATTATTTGGGGCTAAAGCTTTCCAATTTCAAGTATAGGTTAAGTGCTTTGCCAGCCACTCTTTTGTTTGTTCCATCCTTCTCCGCTCTCCCTTTTTTCTGACAATTTTCCATCAAGTTTTAAGTCTTTAAAGTTTCTACAGGGAGATAAAAGTTTGTAATATTCGGGGCGCCTGTACATGATACTGCCAGCTTTATAACACTGACAGATCACTCATTATCCAGAGGCATTTGTATTGGGGTCTGGAGTTAGGGATAAAAGTTGAACTGACATATAACATTCAGTACATTTTGGATAACAAGGTGGCTAGTGCAAATATGTTAACTATGTAATTAATATGCAGTTAATAATTATATAATTAATATGTTAATACTGTTAGGGACTTGTCGCCTTTAGTCAACAAAAATTACCCTGTTAGTTGTGCCACTTGGTTGCTTGGGTTACTGTGATTAGAATCTCATATTGATTTGAATGAAACTTATATTAAACTCACTGAGACCGAAGTAAGCAAATTGAGAGTTAGGCTGGTAAGGCATATTATCTTCCCCAATATTTAAATGTGCTTAGCTTGGTAATTGTTTGCTTCTTTAAAATACATTTCATTTGTATTCCATGTATTCTTGAGACTTAAAATTCCTTGGGTTCTTGCCTCATTTTTTTCCCTCAACTCTGAAGTGGATTAAGTTGAGAATATTGGTTTGTAAGAGACTTACACATAAATGAACTATGCTTTGAATAATTAAAACGGACTGGACAAAAATATACCTGCATAATTTGTAATCCAATGTGGCATACAAATGCATCCAATGGAGAACCCAAAGTCTTATTGTGAAATCAATAATCAAGTGAAAACTTGACCTTAGATCTCCCTAGAGATCATCTCTTGCTCTATGTACTTATCTTGATGAGAACAGATTAATTGTAAAAAAAAATGAAATGTGACACTTTTGTTGCTCTGCTGCAACAGGCCAAGCGTACTAAGAAGGTTGGAATTGTAGGTAAATATGGTACAAGATATGGAGCTTCCCTCAGGAAGATGGTGAAGAAGATTGAAATTAGCCAACACGCTAAGTATACATGCTCCTTCTGTGGAAAGGTAAGACTCTACCTTATAGCAACAAATGTATGAAAATATTTTTAATTAAAGGCTGTCTGTGTCTTTTCAGTTTTAAGGGATCAGTTATTCCTGAGAGACTTTAGATCAGTGGTTCTCAACCTGTGGGTCGGGACCCCATTTGGGGTCGAACGACCATTTCACGGGGGGTCGCCAAACAACGCAGTTCGCCATTTTTTCCCCCTTTTCCTTAGCTGTGCTACTCCCTTTTATTCTATTGGCTTTTGAAAGCCAATAGAATAGGCTCTCTTGAATAGAGTCTAATTCTATTGGCTTTCAAAAGCCAATAGGAATTGTTCAGGCTGTCTCTGCCCTGCTGAGCCCGCCAAAAGTCCCATTCTGCAAACGGTGCTGCACCAGTTGAATAGTCCTCGACTTACGACCGGTTGGGGGTCGTGGCATTAAAAAGGTTGAGAACCACTGCTTTAGATATACATTTATAAAACTTAGGGGCTGATTTTTTTTTAATTTAAAAAATATGTCTATGCTAATATGCCACAGTTTTGGAAATTCTTTTTTTTTTTTATGAGATTTGAAGATGCTCTGAAACCTCCAGAATGAAATAAGACCATTTCTGTATGAAACCTTGAGAGTGTATGAATAGTTATTTTGTGTTTTATATGGGGATTTAAATTACAAGGAAGAACTTTGAATTGGACTTTCAACCTAATCCATTCTTTTTTATTTGGTTCTTCCCATATGTATTGGGACTGAGGTTTATAAGACCTGTCTTGGTAATTTAGGAACTAAAATTCCTATGGAAAAGGAAGGATCTGGAAAAATGCTTTGCTTCAGTCTTCTGTTCAGCGTACAGACTACTTGTATAAAATCCTAGCAGATGGCTGTCATAAGTATACCATCTTTTTTACTATTGTTTAGATTAAGGAAACCTACTTGGATGTTATAAAAAACAAAAAAAAATGTCTTTTAAAGAGATGAGACGTAATTTAATTGGGG